ACGACCTGCTCGCCGCAAACAGCAGTGCTGCGATGCTGAAGGAGCTGATAGGGGCCGCCTTTGAGCTGCGCAAAAAGTATATCGGGTTGGAAATCGTGCGCGATAGGCCAGTGAGGAAGCTGTGGCTTCACCAGCAAGTCTATGTCGACAAGCTGCGCAGGCGTTCCATCGACGAGGAGCAGACCGAGCGAGTGTCGAAGACGTCGATCTCCGTCTACGCCTATGCAAAGCTGATGTTCGACGACGAGGAGCTCCAGTGGTGCGAGGAAGCAGAGTACCGGCAGAAGGTCGGCTTGCTGCAGTTCGCGGCCACCACGACGAGACCCAACATTTCCTTTGCTTGCAGCAAGCTCGGATCTGGCCTGACTGTGCGAAGCGACAACCACTGGCGTGAGGTCGCTCACTGTCGTGAGGTCGCTCACTGGCGTGAGGTCGCCCTCTACCTCGCTCAAACTTGTGACGCCACTCTGGAGTATGGCGGCGGACTAGAGTTGCTTTGTCTGGTCGGCTATGCAGACACCGACAACGTCGGCGACAAGCAGAATCGGACGAGCACGGGCGGCTACGCGTTCGTCTTTGGAGGAGCCGCGGTCTCTTGGTCAAGCCAGCGCATCAAGTGCACGATGCTCTCGTCGACCGAGTCGGAGTACGTCAAGGAAGTCGGCAAGGAGGCTCGCCGTCTGTGCTTTCTTCTTGCAAAATTCCGACTGCTCGAAGCAAGGAAGCATACTGTTCCGCACGTCGACAATCCTTTGACAATCACTGTCGCAAAGGGCCTGGGTCTCAAGGGCAACCTCAAGCACATGGAGCGACGCTACGCCTGGCTCTAGCATATGGTGAAGCGCGGGAAGATTGCCCTGTAGTACATCCCGACCTCCGAGCAGCCGGCATATTTACTGACGAAGGCGCTGCATTTTCCGGCCTTCAACTGATGCTCCGTCGCGGTCGGCCAAGTTCGCCTTGCCCACATCGGCGACGATGACGACGTGCAGCAATAAGTGACATGTCCTCTAACATGGCTGGTACGGTAATCGGCATGCGAAGGTGTGTATGCTGACGAAATATCCCCTTGTATTCTATTACGTAGGTGCTGGGTGGACCTTGTAGGTGGGGGCCCAAGCTTGAGTTGGGCAAAAGTTGGGTAGGGGGGACAGCCACTACGTAGGTGGCGTAGTCAAGGTGACGGGTGGCGGCTATATTAGTAACAACAGCAACAGGCGCCGAAGCAAATGACGGAGAGGCAGTGGTGTTCGTGACAAGAGATGCAAGAACATGTGAGATGACATGACGACCGATACAGTAACATTTAGTGATAGGGTAGAAGGAGGTTGTGAGGGACGACGCAAGAGGTGACAACAGAACGAGGCAAAAAAGTGAGGACTAGCGCAAAGCAGGACCAAACGGAGGGCATGAAAAGGAAATAATGCACAAGCATTCGGGGGACAACGAGTGGTCCAAGTGTGCGGACAACAGGAGGTGGGGGTTGAGCCCTAAAAGGGGAGAAAACAGCAGAGGATGGGTCCGGAAGAAAAAAAGGTTGGACCGTAAGCAGGAGGAGGCGGTGAGCGGTTAGGATGAGAGAAAGGAAGACCAAGGGTCCGAGACCACTTACAAGTGGGGAAAAGTGCTGTAAAAGTGGCTGCCGTAGCGTTTGTGACTGCTGCTGTTACTGTTGCTCCTACTCCTACTCTTGCTCCACCGATCCTGCTCCAACCTCACCTGCTCCTCCCGCTTAAATTCCCTTGCTGTTGAAGTAGGGCCAGTCATAAACACTGACAGCAGTAGCTGTAATGTTTTGCATTCCACCACTTCCACCTTCTCGTAGAGATTCTTGCCATTGTTGTCCACGAGGTCTGCAAGTCTTACTACATCAATACATAGTTTTTTTTCTCAAGAATTACTGATATATAGAGCACCAAGGTATTCTGCCATACCATATTGGGCTAAGAAGACATCGACTTGTATTGTGATAGGAGTCTGGGATTATCTTAGCTAGTGTTATGAAAGAAACATAATAATAAAACATACCTATGTAATTATGTAGATGTCCGCTTAAAGCCATTGGCCCAAATTGCACAAGTTTTAAATAGATGACGAGAGGGACTAGTTTGGGTTTTGGCGAGTGTTTCCGGTTTCGTGAAATTTGATTTTTTTTAGCCAAACCTAGCCAGCCCCGTGGTTTTACCCTAGTGAGTGTGTCAGACTTCGAAAGTTCCACATTGCAGCTGCGCTACTTTTCAAAGCTTGTACAACCCACTTCGTCCAGTTTTAAAATTTTGACCCACGCGGTCCGCAATTTGGGACATGGGCTTTAAACGAACTTTTATGAAATAGCAATTTATTGAAGGTGTTTCTAAATGTAGCGTCATGCAATTAGTCATAAGATGATCAGCATTCTTAATGGTTAATTCACGAGCATGCTACAACAATCTTTGTTTTTGAGAGTTACTATGATAAAACCACCGAACTCTTCAAAAGTTATTTGATCTCAACGGATTAATATGTTCTTTATGAATCGTTATTAAAAATGACGCCAATATAAAGGTAGACTGCATTCTTATCTTGACGCGTCTTCAATTTTCGCGTCACCTTAAACATCAAGAAAATTAATGCCAGCTACAAGATTCTGATGACAGCATTAAAACCGCTCTATACTTTAGTTATGCCCTGATTTATGGAGGTGGTGTTGGGGTGTGTGAAGAGATTGATAGAGCAGTAACGAAACTAGTAGAAGCTGCTCCAAGCTTCCAACTTAATAATATGCAGAACCCACGATCACGCCATATTGTAAAAGCGGTCAGACGTGTTCGCCGATGATTTTGAAACAAGCCATCACTTGGTACAACCATGCATAAGCACACTCGACATTATAGGGCCAGAGCAAAACAACCACAGCTAAAGTGACACATGGAGCAAAGCAACATATCAATGGGTTCTTACGGGTGCTGAAGTTATATCATTTTTATAATAGAGATTCATAGCGGGCTAGTTGAATTTTTTAGGCGTTTCATATATAAACCTTTGTAGAAAGTTGCTCGGGTATGGTATACACTACATAAGACCTCTAGCACCGGTTATGATCGTGACATTTTGCGTAGTATAGTGCATGTTCACCAACCAAAAAAAAAAAAAAAAGCTTGCATGGATGACAACATTTGTGTAATAGTGTGTACTCTACATATTCTTTATTACAATTGTTTCATGCCCGCTTTGTAAAATGGTATAACCATCATTCTAGAACAAGCGGACCATGTGCAAATGAGCAAATTTTGAATTGGGGATTCTTCTTCAAAGAGTTATTTGGATTCAAAGTGCATTGCAAAATCTAGGTGAAATCCCTTGCAAGTTAGCAACTCGACTCGACCAAGGCCCAAAATATCAGGGTAAAATACCCTTCTTGCCCTTTCTGTAGGCCGCTTTTTTTCAGTTACCCTGATCAAAACAGGCTAACCGTATAATCTCCTTTTCTTCAAATTAGTGTTTGTTTTTTACCCTTTCGAAAACAGCGAAGTAGTTTCTTTTCCATAACTAAGAAGTGTAACATATAGGTTATTATGGTACCACTTCGGAGAAACCCGCGTACCTTCAATAGCCTAGTCGCCGACATCAAGGTTCAGGCCTGCAGTCTTACCATTCGGAGGAAATTCGACAACTGACTAAGTCACTTACTGACGTTTTCTGTGTTACAAAAAACAATTATGTAAGTCGCCTTTAATTCAGTCAACCTACATTTTTTAGCCTGTATTTGTCAGCGCATAAGAATGTTTACCCTAGGCCATCAGGGTGGGACAGGCTGAGACCGTGATTAGTCAAGGTGGCCTAAAACCAATTTTGGGCCCTGGACTCGACCCACTTACACCTGGTCCGCGGTAAATCAACCGCCGGTATCTTAACCACGTTTGTCGGCATGCTGGGGGTTTTCCGCTGGGTGGCAGAAATCGTTGTTCACACTTGACCAAACCAAGTTGGGGAATTGCTGAACCTTTTTTCGATATTTCAGATGGCGCCGTGCATGGGGCGAGCATATTTTCCATCAGACTATTCACGAGAGAATCGCCACCGTCGATGTTTTTGCTTTCCTGACACTCGAACATTCCAGATGGCGAAAAGGTCCATAGTGTTCCTTTTGAGGGGTACTATCAAAACTTTCCATGCTGTTCAGATATTTGGTGGTGAAAATAATGACCTGAATTTTGCAACTTTTTCTTCACCACGGCCAGATAATCCAAAATCCTGCTCCCCATTTTGGCGTGGTTAAAATGCCGCGGACTAGGTGTATGCTGGCACGGGTGCCGTGGGTTCGACCCACGTTGGAGGATTGGATGTGCCAGCGAGCCGACAAGGAAACCAGAAATGGCGCGTTTCGCGCAGATCTATTTTTAATGATGGTCAATGAAGGGAGCTGGCACGGAGGGAAAAGCGCAGAAGAGATGTACAGTAGTGCTGAGCAGACAGATGAGGGGATAATTTGGTCAAACTTACTATGTCATCATCTTGTCAACTTCGGCCAAGGTGGAAACGACCAAAGGTTGCAACATCCAGATGTCGGGTCGGGGGAAGGTCCATTCCGGGAGCGCATGGATTATCCAGCAGAGCAGAGCATCATTGCCTGATGCACCAAACAGTTGTCAATCATGATGGACATGGAAGGAGTCTCTCTGTTCCGAAGCCTATCCCGGATGTACAGTGTAATCGGCGCAAGGCGGTAAGCCATACGTCTTGAGGCGGATGGAGCTGGAACCCGCGTGAGGCCTCTGCACCAAAAGCGGGGTTGATCAGATGTGCCTTCAACGTGTAAGCCCCAAGCTCAATATCGTTTTGCCCAACCCTCGGCTCCGTGGCTCTCGGCGAGTCATACCCAGCCCCTAGTACCACTATCAGCGTTGTCGACTCTTCGCACGGCGCCGGTTGTTCCACCACCGCCTTTCCCAAACGAGTCGTTCCCAGTACTAGTAGTACGGAGTGATTGCGGAGGCAGGGGTTCAACAAGCAGCAGTAAAATGGGAGGATGGAGAGACTGGCTCGGAAAAGGAGGAGGGGTTGGAGAAAAAGAGGAAGAAACGGCAGGGGCGGGTGCGGATGATGAAGTGCCGCTGTTGGATGACGAGGAGGTGGCGCGGGCGGACAAGGAGGTCATTCAGTGTACTTCGCTCACCCACAGCCACCTAATCGCCTCCTACTCAGTGCTTAAAAGTCGTGTCTTCCTCGCCTCGCGGGTTTCTTGTTGCTTCTCAGTCCCTTTCCCGCTGCTCCGCCGTCCTGTCGCGGCGGTGGTACAGGCACACGCAACTGCCCACAACCGCGTTGCATTCCCTCTCCACCCCTCCCTCCCCCCATCCTGTGCGTTGCCCTTCCTCCCCCCCTCCCCCACCCCTTCCCCCACCCCTTCCCCCATCACGCGTGCGCGCGCGGGGGCGGGCAGCGGTGTTTGAGCGCGTGGTGGAGGCGCAGGCGCAGCTGCACAACTAGAAGAGCCTCGTTGTTTTCGCGCTCTTCACCGCCCTCTACCTCCTCATGCTCTGCCTTCAGGTGCCTCCTCATGCTCTGCCTTCAGGTGCCTCCTCATGCTCTGCCTTCAGGTGCCTCCTCATGCTCTGCCTTTCAGGTGCCTCCTCATGCTCTGCCTTCAGGTGCCTCCTCATGCTCTGCCTTCAGGTGCCTCCTCATGCTCTGCCTTCAGGTGCCTCCTCATGCTCTGCCTTTCAGGTGCCTCCTCATGCTCTGCCTTCAGGTGCCTCCTCATGCTCTGCCTTCAGGTGCCTCCTCATGCTCTGCCTTCAGGTGCCTCCTCATGCTCTGCCTTCAGGTGCCTCCTCATGCTCTGCCTAAAGGCACCTGACGACAATGCAATTCTCGTGCTCTGCCTTCTTCTCCTACTTCAGCTGCCTCCGGTGCTCGCTGTCAATTATTCCTGCTTGCTTCCTTGCCCCTCGCACGTGCTCCTCCTGTCGCGTGCGGATCTAACACTGGATGCACCATGTCAGCGCTGATGAGCCATGAAACAGCGCGTCGCCAGGAAGTTTACTTGACGGGGGTTGGGCATGGCGTGTGAGAAGGTCAGTCGACCCTGGTCCTGACCTTGCCGGTGCTGGTACTGCTGGGTCCTGGCCCCGCTGGTCCTGGCACTGCTGGTCCTGGCCCCGCTGGTCCTGGCACTGCTGGTCCTGGCCCCGCTGGTCCTGGCACTGCTGGTCCTGGCCCTGCTGGTACTGCTGGTCCGGGCCCTGGCTCTGGTCCTGGTGCCAGCGCGGCCTATGCTCATGCCCACTCACAACACACGACCTCTCATGATTTCCTGCATTGTGCATGCTCGCTCCTCCCCGTGTGTCACGCGTCCCCACCCACCAGGCGCAGTCCTTCCAGAGCTACCACGTGGCCACCGCTCACAACGTCCTGCTGCCTCCGGTATGCCTTTGGCCGCCTCTCCTCTGCCTGCCTGCCTCGTTGGCCCCCTCTATGCGACTTCATTTGCTTGCTACTCTGGCACATGCCATTGCCACGCCACCACATGCAATCTCCTCTCGCCACATACATCTCTCTTCCAACCGCCGCCCCATGCAACACGCTCTCCGTGTGCGAATCGAACCCATGTTGTGTGGTTGTGCTGGTGTGTGTGCGTGCTGTGAGGGCGACAGGACTATTCAAAGACTGCAAGCTACTCCTTTGCCAGCAGCAGCGCTTTCTACACCAGGCTCAACGACAGCATCATTCAGGTGATTGCAACGACAGCATCATTCAGTTGATTCCAACGACAGCATCATTCAGGTGATTCCAACGACAGCATCATTTAGGTGATTCCAACGACAGCATCATTCAGGTGGTGCATCAACCATTCGATTCTTCACGGCTTCATTCTGTTGAATTCCTCAAAGCTTCACCACAGGCAGGCAGGCGGGTCAATCCGCTGCGCCAAGTGCAGATCGACCTGGAAGACTTAAAGGCGTCCCTGCTCTGCTTCCACCGCATTTCTCCACCCCTCCCTCAGGCCGTATGGACGGACCCGCAGTGTGGCGATGGCACATGCACGCCCCCCATGGAGGTGCCAGCGGTGGGTCGCTTCGGGTGCGCCCTGGACTGCGGGTTGGCCAGCAACGTGACGGCGGTGACGGTGGCGCTGCGCTGGCGCTTTGCATCCACGGACGCCATGGCGGCCTCCTCCTGGAACCTCTGCTCCACCGCCATCTGCGACGTCTGCTGGTGAGCCGCCATCCGCGACGTCTGCTGGTGAGCCGCCATCCGCGACGTCTGCTGGTGAGCCGCCATCCGCCACGTCTGCTGGTGAGCCGCCATCCGCCACGTCTGCTGGTGAGCCGCCATCCGCCACGTCTGCTGGTGAGCCGCCATCCGCCACGTCTGCTGGTGAGCCGCCATCCGCCATGTCTGCTGGTGAGCCGCCATCCGCCACGTCTGCTGGTGAGCCGCCCATGTCAGCGACTCAGTTTGTGTGAGATGTTGGGTGTGGTGTATGCTTGAAAATGGAGGGTTTTGATTCGACCTTTCAAATCCCACAATAGTATCCTACCTTCTCCTTACCCACGCTCTCCTCACACACCAGGTTCGAGGGTCCTCAGGTGTTCACGGAGGTGGCAGGCTGGCACACGCTCACACTGCAGCTGCCAGACAACGACTGGTTCGTCTCACTCACTGCACCAGACGGCGGGGTGAGCGTGTACGTGTACGAGTCACAGCCCACAACCAGCCAGGACGGACCACCGCTGCCTTCAGCCTCCCTCGACCCAGCTGCGGCAGCAGCAGCATCAGCAGCACCACCCTCCTCACCCACTCCCACGCCTCCCCCCTTTAGCGCCGGCGCCCCTGCCTCCTCGCCCTCTGCAGCGCCGTCTCCTTCAGGGGGCGTGAAGGGGAGGGTGCGGCCGTCCAACGGCACGGGCGCTAACGTGCTGCTGGCGCTCATCGATGGCTGTGTGACGGATGGCGAGAGCGGTCTGCAGCGGTGCAGACAGGTATGATGGAGAGTGGTTTTAAGCAGGCTGGTGCAGTGGAAAGGAGGGCGTGCAGTGCAATATAGTGCAGCGAGGTGCTGAGGGCCCGGTATTACCGGGTGGGTTTGCTGAGTGGCATGTGCTGAGTGGCATGTGCTGAGTGGCATGTGCTGAGTGGCATGTGCTGAGTGGCATGCGCTGAGTGGCATGTGCTGAGTGGCATGTGCTGAGTGGCATGCGCTGAGTGGCATGTGCTGAGTGGCATGTGCTGAGTGGCATGCGCTGAGTGGCATGTGCTGAGCTGAGTGGCATGCGCTGAGTGGCTTGTGCTGAGTGGCATGGAGGCGACGTGCCGCTGTTAGCGTGTGGAATCTGTGGATCACTGCGTGGCACATGGGGAGAGTAATGGGTAGCGGCGCAGAGCAGAGCAGTCTGACCTCACAACACAGAGCAGGTTGTGAGGTGGTGTCCGTCCTTGCATGCTACACCCACACTCTCGTATGACTCGACCTCCTTGCCTGCACCTTATCCTCTCTCCGGCGCCATCTCATCCCCACATGTCTTCTCATCCCCACATGTCTTCTCATCCCCACATGTCTTCTCATCCCCACATGTCTTCTCATCCCCACATGTCTTCTCATCCCCACATGTCTTCTCATCCCCACATGTCTTCTCTCCCTTTTTGTCCCAGACTTGTGCCGTTTGGACTCTCTGTCTTCCACAGCTGTGCACCAACAGTAGCAGCAGCGGCAGCACTAGCACTAGCAGCGGTGATACTACGGCTCCTCCCATGCGGGTGGCCTCCTTGGCTCTGGGCAGCTGCTTCCAGGCCTGCAACGCCATGCTGCCCCGCACCTCCTTCCTCCCACCTGATAACGTCTCCTGCCCCCAGGTACACTTAAATCACACTTGTTTGTCATGTTCCTTTTATCATTGAATCCTGCATGTATTCAAGAGCATCGGAAAGCAATCCAAACATTTTTTTGTAAAAGAAGTTAGCGAATATCCGGGAATAGTTTGGTAAGTGTGCGACTGAACCTCACTGGGTTGCTCACTGCCACATTCTCAAACGCCGCGGGATTCGACGCTCCGAGCAGGTTTTGAGCGCGCTTGGTGAGAAACCTGTTCGACAAAACGAGATTAGGGTTAGAAATTTAGTTCACTTCTCACAGTCTATATTTTAATCTCACAATGCATTCTGCTGCCGCATATGATAGTGCCAGATCCGCACAGCGAAAATGTCTGGTCCCCTGGTCGTGTTCCCCTGGTCGTGTTCCCCTGGTCGTGTTCCCCTGGTCGTGTTCCCCTGGTCGTGTTCCCCTGGTCGTGTTCCCCCGGTCGTGTTCCCCCGGTCGTGTTCCCCCGGTCGTGTTCCCCCGGTCGTGTTCCCCCCGTCGGGTCGTGTTCCCCCCGTCGTGTCGTGTTCCCCCGGTCGTGTTCCCCCGGTCGTGTTCCCCCGGTCGTGTTCCCCCGGTCGTGTTCCCCCGGTCGTGTTCCCCCGGTCGTGTTCCCCCGATCGTGTTCCCCCGGTCGTGTTCCCCCGGTCGTGTTCCCCCGGTCGTGTTCCCCCGGTCGTGTTCCCCCGGTCGTGTTCCCCCGGTCGTGTTCCCCCGGTCGTGTTCCCGCGGTCGTGTTCCCCTGGTCGTGTTCCCCGGGTCGTGTTCCCCGGTCGTGTTCCCCCGGTCGTGTTCCCCCGGTCGTGTTCCCCCGGTCGTGTTCCCCCGGTCGTGTTCCCCCGGTCGTGTTCCCCCGGTCGTGTTCCCCCGGTCGTGTTCCCCCGGTCGTGTTCCCCCGGTCGTGTTCCCCCGGTCGTGTTCCCCCGGTCGTGTTCCCCCGGTCGTGTTCCCCCGGTCGTGTTCCCCCCGGTCGTGTTCCCCTGGTCGTGTTCCCCCGGTCGTGTTCCCCCGGTCGTGTTCCCCCGGTCGTGTTCCCCCGGTCGTGTTCCCCCGGTCGTGTTCCCCCGGTCGTGTTCCCCCGGTCGTGTTCCCCCGGTCGTGTTCCCCCGGTCGTGTTCCCCCGGTCGTGTTCCCCTGGTCGTGTTCCCCCGGTCGTGTTCCCCTGGTCGTGTTCCCCTGGTCGTGTTCCCCTGGTCGTGTTCCCCTGGTCGTGTTCCCCTGGTCGTGTTCCCCTGGTCGTGTTCCCCTGGTCGTGTTCCCCTGGTCGTGTTCCCCTGGTCGTGTTCCCCTGGTCGTGTTCCTTTTGGCGATTCCTGTCTTGCCTCTCCTGTCTCTCTTCCCTCTCTTCTCTCGTCTGCCTCGCCTCACAGGCATTCACTCTCTTCGAGCCCTTCGTCCAGACACCCTCATGCACTGGTGCGGCCTCCCGCCCTCCCCACCCTCCTGCCCCTCCCCCCACCCTCCTGTCCTTCCCACTCTCCTGCCCTCCCCCCCACGCTCCTCCTCTTCCCACTGTCTTGCCCTGCCAACCCTCCTGCCCTCCCTACCCCTCTGCCCTCCCCACCCTCCTGCCCTCCCTACCCCCCTGCCCTTCCTACCCCTCTGCCCTCCCCACCCTCCTGTCCCGACCCCACTCATGCTTACTTACCTGCTATTTCATGGCCTTTCTCGTGATGCGATGGGTTCTTTTTCTCCCATTTTTTTTTTTTTTCAAATTGTTTTTTACTGTCGTTTTCTACGATACCGTATTTGATCGTCAAATTTTGAGAAGAAAAGACTTGCCTCATGTGCAGACATCCTTTCGGGAAATCCTTTTCCTGATGAGGCAACCACAGCAACAGTGGCAGCCGAAGAAGCAGAAGCAGGCCCATCGTCTGCCCGCCTCCTCCTTGCTGCGTTGGCTCCCGACGACATGAAAGAGCAGAGCCTCATGACGTCTGTCCTCCAGGTCCGCACTGCACTCTCTGCACTCTCTGCACTCTCTGCACTCTCTGCACTCTCTGCACTCTCTGCACTCTCTGCACTCTCTGCACTCTCTGCACTCTCTGCACTCTCTGCACTCTCTGCACTCTCTGCACTCTCTGCACTCTCTGCACTCTCTGCACTCTCTGCACTCTCTGCACTCTCTGCACTCTCTGCACTCTCTGCACTCTCTGCACTCTCTGCACTCTCTGCACTCTCTGCACTCTCTGCACTCTCTGCACTCTCTGCACTCTCTGCACTCTCTGCACTCTCTGCACTCTCTGCACTCTCTGCACTCTCTGCACTCTCTGCACTCTCTGCACTCTCTACACTCTCTGCACTCTCTGCACTCTCTGCACTCTTTGCACTCACTTCTTTGCCTGCTGCTTCCCCACCCGAGCCTTCACTTCTTTGCCTGCTGCTTCCCCACCCGAGCCTTCACTTCTTTGCCTGCTGCTTCCCCACCCGAGCCTTCACTTCTTTTCCACCTGCTCTCTTTGCCTTGCACGTTCTTCTCTCTTTGCCTTGCACGTTCTTCTCTCTTTGCCTTGCAGGTTCTTCTCTCTTTGCCTTGCACGTTCTTCTCACTTTGCCTTGCACGTTCTTCTCTCTTTGCCTTGCACGTTCTTCTCTCTTTGCCTTGCACGTTCTTCTCTCTTTGCCTTGCACGTGCTTCTCTCTTTGCCTTGCACGTTCTTCTCTCTTTGCCTTGCACGTTCTTCTCTCTTTGCCTTGCACGTTCTTCTCTCTTTGCCTTGCACGTTCTTCTCTCTTTGCCTTGCACGTTCTTCTCTCTTTGCCTTGCACGTTCTTCTCTCTTTGCCTTGCACGTTCGTCTCTCTTTGCCTTGCACGTTCTTCTCTCTTTGCCTTGCACGTTCTTCTCTCTTTGCCTTGCACGTTCTTCTCACTTTGCCTTGCACGTTCTTCTCTCTTTGCCTTGCACGTTCTTCTCTCTTTGCCTTGCACGTTCTTCTCTCTTTGCCTTGCACGTGCTTCTCTCTTTGCCTTGCACGTTCTTCTCTCTTTGCCTTGCACGTTCTTCTCTCTTTGCCTTGCACGTTCTTCTCTCTTTGCCTTGCACGTGCTTCTCTCTTTGCCTTGCACGTTCTTCTCTCTTTGCCTTGCACGTTCTTCTCACTTTGCCTTGCACGTTCTTCTCTCTTTGCCTTGCACGTTCTTCTCTCTTTGCCTTGCACGTTCTTCTCTCTTTGCCTTGCACGTGCTTCTCTCTTTGCCTTGCACGTTCTTCTCTCTTTGCCTTGCACGTTCTTCTCTCTTTGCCTTGCACGTTCTTCTCTCTTTGCCTTGCACGTGCTTCTCTCTTTGCCTTGCACGTTCTTCTCTCTTTGCCTTGCACGTTCTTCTCTCTTTGCCTTGCACGTTCTTCTCTCTTTGCCTTGCACGTTCTTCTCTCTTTTCCTTGCACGTTCTTCTCTCTTTGCCTTGCACGTTCTTCTCTCTTTGCCTTGCACGTTCTTCTCTCTTTGCCTTGCACGTTCTTCTCTCTTTGCCTTGCACGTTCTTCTCTCTTTGCCTTGCACGTTCTTCTCTCTTTGCCTTGCACGTTCTTCTCTCTTTGCCTTGCACGTTCTTCTCCCTTTGCCTTGCACGTTCTGCTCTCTTTGCCTTGCACGTTCTTCTCTCTTTGCCTTGCACGTTCTTCTCTCTTTGCCTTGCACGTTCTTCTCTCTTTGCCTTGCACGTGCTTCTCTCTTTGCCTTGCACGTTCTTCTCTCTTTGCCTTGCACGTTCTTCTCTCTTTGCCTTGCACGTTCTTCTCTCTTTGCCTTGCACGTTCTTCTCTCTTTGCCTTGCACGTTCTTCTCTCTTTGCCTTGCACGTTCGTCTCTCTTTGCCTTGCACGTTCTTCTCTCTTTGCCTTGCACGTTCTTCTCTCTTTGCCTTGCACGTTCTTCTCTCTTTGCCTTGCACGTTCTTCTCTCGTTGCCCTGCCCGGCACAGCGCTCAGCGCCGGTGCACTGTGAGCCGACTGTTGCCTTTGTGTTGTGCACCACACCATCCAACTCGGGCTGAGATGCTTGAGCCACAATATACGCCCACCCGTTCGACACGGCTCCGCGGTGTGACTTTCGTTGAGTGGGCCTCTATTGAGCCCCTGATTTATGGCAAATACATTGAGCTGGCCACGACTGTTCCCTACTAATTTCTGGGATGTAAGCATATGGCTGCTTAGACACACAGTTGTTTACATACTTCAAACAAACGAAACTGGTTCAACCGGATCCACAGCGGTTGAACTTGAGTCCCTTTGAGCTGCCCCGTGAAGACTCGGATATTAAACCGCGAGCTGTTCAGGCTGGTTCCACCCAAACCGGACTAGTTTGGTTTGGTTTGATCATGCCTGCCAGTTCAGGCAGTTCAAACCAAACGGGTTTGAGTTGAGGTTCTGCTCATGCCTCCAATCGCTCAAGCGCAAAGGAGATTCTGTTCCTACTATAGCCTTTCTCTCTCCTCGGTACATTTTTTTTGACATGTAAAGATTCTCCTCTGTACTTGCATTGCAAGGGGCCCCTCACCTCAAAAGTCGCACGGCCTTCCTGTCTTCTTCACACATTGCCTTCCCCTTTGCCCATCCCTGCACCCGCCCTTCCTTGCACCCGCCCTGCCCTGCAGCGTCTGCCGCTGCGCCAATCAAGCGAGACCAGCTGCTCGCTTGGGAGAGCCTCGGGACAGCCAATGACGAGCGAATCAGGTCGTGCCAGGTGGCAGTGGCGCGGGCGCTGTACACCGCAGTGAAGGAGAACTGCCTGGCCGGGCCGACCGGTGGCGCCAGCAATGATACCAGCAGCAGCAGCAGCAGCATGGACAGCGGCGGGTTGTTTCTATCGTCCTCACCGGCCAAGAGCCTCTCCCTCACCTCTCGCAGTCGCCTCGTTGCCTTCCTTTGCACACTCTTTGGCGGCCCTGTGGCCGACCACCCCCTCTGCAACTTCACGGAACCCTCCTCTGGGCGGCAGTTGAAGGATCAAGCAGAGCTCTTGGAATACATTCGAGCGACTCACCGCACGTACGGGGCTCACAGGGGGGGCTGAGAGGGGGACTGGGAGAAGAGATGGGAGGGAGGGGGCTGACTGGGTGCTCACAAAGGGGGTGAAAAGGGGGCTGAGATGGTGGGCTGATAGGGGGGCTGAGAGGGGGACTGAGAAGGCTCGTGGTTGCTCCCTCTAGGCTAGATCCCACTTCTTCTCCAGCTTAGAAGGCCACCCAGTTTGCTTTTCTATCCTCTCACGCCCACTCTCCCCATTTTCCACCTTTCCCCCTCCTCCGCTCCCTCGCCTCCTTCCACTCACCGTCATCTGTTGTCGCCATTGTCCCCAATCCCCTGGACCCGTGCTCATCCCACCCCTGCTCATCCCACCCCTGCACCGCCTGCACAGTCCATCTCGGCGCTTCTCTGCCGCCCAGCAGTCTGTCTTCATCCAAATCCTCATCATGGCGCTGCAGTCAGTCGTGCAGAAGATGCCAGATGATGCCGTCCAAGCTGCCACCCGCCTGCTGCATGCCTATGACGATACAGTCGTCTCCAATGCTTCTTTCTGCCCCCAAGGTGCCCTTTGCGTGCTTACTCGCCCCATTCACGTCTCTCAGCTCTCGTGTTCTGCTGGCTCTCGTGTTCTGCTGGCTCTCGTGTTCTGCTGGCTCTGCTGCCAATGGACAACCCTCTGCCACCAATGCCATGCGTCGCCATTCTTCTCCCACTGCTCTCCTCTCGTGTGGCCCTTTCTGCGTTGTCACTCTCCATTGCCCCACTCACTCACTTCGCTTCAATTTGTTCCCACCCCCTATTGTCTCCCCTCTTCTCTTCCCTCCCCTCCATCCCTGAACCTCCCTCTCTCTTCCCTCCCCTCCCCCGCCATCCCCCCCACAGCCGACTTCACAGTGCTGTGGGACTCAACCTCCTTCGCCCGCCGGGCCATTGCGGACGGCCAGCGGGTCACGTGGGTGTGGAATGACGACAATTACCACGAGCTCAGAGGTGCGCCTGTAGCGAGCTCAGAGGTGCGCCTGTAGCGAGCTCAGAGGTGCGCCTGTAGCGAGCTCAGAGGTGCGCCTGTAGCGAGCTCAGAGGTGCTCCTGTAGCGAACTCAGAGGTGCGCCTGTAGCGAGCTCAGAGGTGCGCCTGTAGCGAGCTCAGAGATGCGCCTGTAGCGAGCTCAGAGGTGCGCCTGTAGCGAGCTGAGGGGTAGTAATGAGGTGAGAACGAGCGGGCCACATGAGGTGAGTGGCAACCCGCGGTGGGTGGCTCGTGGATGTCATGCTTGATGCGCCCACCCAACCTGCCTTGCCTTCACACCCTGCCACGGTCGTGGCGCTACGTGAGTCACTGAATTGCTGAAGTCAAATTCCGGGATCATGTCTCGTTGGCTCTTTGATGGGAATGCACGTCTATGTGGGCTTCCAGCAGTGGCAAGGTTACAAACGAGCCACAAGCCTCCCTGGCTCGTGACAAGCCAGCCATGTGAAAATGATAGCCTTACTTGGGTCGTCGTTTCCCAGTCAGTCGTTACTTGATGCTCATGCTCATCGACTTGTGTGAGAGCACCAGCCTGCCATGAGGCACCAGCCTGCCATGAGGCACCAGCCTGCCATGAGGCACCAGCCTGCCATGAGGCACCAGCCTGCCATGAGGCACCAGCCTGCCATGAGGCACCAGCCTGCCATGAGGCACCAGCCTGCCATGAGGCACCAGCCTGCCATGAGGCACCAGCCTGCCATGAGGCACCAGCCTGCCATGAGGCACCAGCCTGCCATGAGGCACCAGCCTGCCATGAGGCACCAGCCTGCCATGAGGCACCAGCCTGCCATGAGGCACCAGCCTGCCATGAGGCACCAGCCTGCCATGAGGCACCAGCCTGCCATGAGGCACCAGCCTGCCATGAGGCACCAGCCTGCCATGAGGCACCAGCCTGCCATGAGGCACCAGCCTGCCATGAGGCACCAGCCTGCCATGAGGCACCAGCCTGCCATGAGGCACCAGCCTGCCATGAGGCACCAGCCTGCCATGAGGCACCAGCCTGCCATGAGGCACCTGATTGCTGCAGCGAAACCATGGGAGGTTCAGCTGTTCCTCATCGTTCCCATCTTTTTGTTTCCCCCCTGAATTCTCTTGCTGCTCCCTCCCGCACTCCTTCACTGCTCCCTTCTGCACTCCTTCACTGCAGGGCCGGTGAGCTCAGAGCCGTTTCTTGGGTTCGGAGCAGGGAGGCTCGGCCTATCACGGCTTGCCACGTGTGCATGGGACAACATCGGGCCCGGAGATGCGATGGATGAGCCTGCGCCATGCGTGCTGCGTGAGTACATTGTAGCGATGACGTGGCACCAAAGGAGTGGTAAGAAGCATACGTGAAATGTGTGCTCTGATTCGAAGAGGTAAGCCTTCTCACAGGCTCCTCATGCTCCTCATGCTCCTCATGCTCCTCATGCTCCCACACGATCCTGCCCACAGGGTTGCCTGGCGACAAGGCAGCCCCGTATTTCACATACACCAAAGTGTTTGGCACAGCGCGGGACATGACCGTCAAGGACTCGCCGCAGTCGCTCGCCTCCACTCTCCTCCGCGCCACCCCCCACCCAGGTGCCACCCCCCACCCAGGTGCCACCCCCCACCCAGGTGCCACCCCCCACCCAGGTGCCACCCCCCACCCAGGTGCCACCCCCCACCCAGGTGCCACCCCCCACCCAGGTGCCACCCCCCACCCAGGTGCCACCCCCCACCCAGGTGCCACCCCCCACCCAGTTGCCACCCCCCACCCAGGTGCCACCCCCCACCCAGGTGCCACCCGCCACCCAGGTGCCACCCCCCACCCAGGTGCCACCCCCCACCCAGGTGCCACCCCCCACCCAGGTGCGCCCATCCCTGCAAGGCACTGCCACCCCTCGCCCATGTGCCACCCCCCACGCCCACCCATGTGCCACCCCCACCATGTTCCACCCCCCACCATGTGCCACCCCCAACCCATGTGCGGCCATTCCAGGCACCAGTGGCACTGCCACGTGACAATCACTCGCACACACACACATGCATGCACGTGCCATCCGTCCTTCAAGCTGCCTCACCTCACCGTCGCTCTCCCCTCCCTCTGCATGCGCTCTGCCATCGCCCTCTGCCATCTCGCCCTCTGCCATCGCCCTCTGCCATCTCGCGCTCTGCCATCTCGCCCTCTGCCATCGCCCTCTGCTCTGCGATGCTCATTGCAACCATCCCTGCAACGTGGCACTCTCTCACCCATCCTCGCCTGTCTCCATGCACTGCCCTCGCCCTGCCCACCCGCCTGCCCCCCAGCAGAGCCGCCACCAGCCACGTCTCTGCGGCCGTACGAGCAGCTGCTGGCCACGCGCTGTGCGCCCGCGTGTGCGCTGGCCATGCTGGCCAATGGCCGCTGTGACCCCGCATGCAACGTGGCTGCCTGCGACTTCAATGGGGGCGACTGTGCCTGCGCCACTGCCGACGCTGCTGGGGCTGGCGGCAGCAGCAGTGGCAGCGCTGGTGCCGATGTGCAGTGGTGTGAATGCTCCGTGCTGCAAACGCGCGGGGTTGATGGAGGTAAGCTGGAAGATGCATTCAGTCTCATCACAGATATCTGCGTGTCCCTTTAGCCTCTAGACATGCTCCCTTTACGCTGAAGCCTGGGTGGGGGGTGCGGATCTGTTTCCATGCAATGTGTGTTTCCATGCAATGTGTGTTTCCATGCAATGTGTGTTTCCATGCAATGTGTGTTTCCATGCAATGTGTGCTTTCATGCAATGTGTGCTTTCATGCAATGTGTGCTTTCATGCAATGTGTGCTTTCATGCAATGTGTGCTTTCATGCAATGGGTGCTTTCATGCAATGTGTGCTTTCATGCAATGGGTGCTTTCATGCAATGTGTGCTTTCATGCAATGTGTGCTTTCATGCAATGTGTGCTTTCATGCAATGTTTGCTTTCATGCAATGTGTGCTTTCATGCAATGTGTGTTTTCATGCAATGTGTGCTTTCATGCAATGTGTGCTTTCATGCAATGTGTGCTTTCATGCAATGGGTGCTTTCATGCAATGTGTGCTTTCATGCAATGTGTGCTTTCATGCAATGTGTGCTTTCATGCAATGTGTGCTTTCATGCAATGTGTGCTTTCATGCAATGTGTGCTTTCATGCAATGTGTGCTTTCATGCAATGTGTGCTTTCATGCAATGTGTGCTTTCATGCAATGTGTGCTTTCATGCAATGGGTGCTTTCATGCAATGTGTGCTTTCATGCAATGTGTGCTTTCATGCAATGTGTGCTTTCATGCAATGTGTGCTTTCATGCAATGTGTGCTTTCATGCAATGTGTGCTTTCATGCAATGTGTGCTTTCATGCAATGTGTGCTTTCATGCAATGTGTGCTTTCATGCAATGTGTGCTTTCATGCAATGGGTGCTTTCATGCAATGTGTGCTTTCATGCAATGTGTGCTTTCATGCAATGTGTGCTTTCATGCAATGTGTGCTTTCATGCAATGTGTGCTTTCATGCAATGTGTGCTTTCATGCAATGTGTGCTTTCATGCAATGTGTGCTTTCATGCAATGTGTGCTTTCATGCAATGTGTGCTTTCATGCAATGTGTGCTTTCATGCAATGTGTGCTTTCATGCAATGTGTGCTTTCATGCAATGGGTGCTTCCATCCATTTTCTGCAGATTGTGATTCCCCATCCTCCCCTGTTCTTCCCCCGCTGTTCTCCCTCCTCCCCGTCGTCCCCCTCTGCTCCCCCTCTGCTCCCATCCCCCTCTGCTCCCCCTCTGCTCCCCCTCTGCTCCCTCCACCTGTGCTGTGCGCCACCCACCGGGGTCATGCAATGTGTCCTTCCGTCTGCATCCACATCCTCCCCCATTCTCCTCCCCCTTCACGCGCCCCCCCCCCACCTTCTTCCCCGAATTCTCTCTACCTTCTCCCGCTTGGTCCACAGCGTACTGTGAGGCGGCGGGAGTGGGTTCGGGCATCAAGGTGCCCTTCAAGCTGCGCCGCTTCGGCTCCACCGTGCATCCCCTCGACGCCACTCTCGCCACCAACGCCTCTCTGCTGCCGCGCACTGTCTCCCAGTACAACAGGTGCCGCACCGTCTCCCAGTACAACAGGTGCCGCACCGTCTCCCGGTACAACAGGTGCCGCACCGTCTCCCAGTACAACAGGTGCCGCACCGTCTCCCAGTACAACAGGTGCCGCACCGTCTCCCAGTACAACAGGTGCCGCACCGTCTCCCAGTACAACAGGTGCCGCACCGTCTCCCAGTACAACAGGTGCCGCACCGTCTCCCAGTACAACAGGTGCCGCACCGTCTCCCAGTACAACAGGTGCCGCACCGTCTCCCAGTACAACAGGTGCCGCACCGTCTCCCAGTACAACAGGTGCCGCACCGTCTCCCAGTACAACAGGTGCCGCACCGTCTCCCAGTACAACAGGTGCCGCACCGTCTCCCAGTACAACAGGTGCCGCACCGTCTCCCAGTACAACAGGTGCCGCACCGTCTCCCAGTACAACAGGTGCCGCACCGTCTCCCAGTACAACAGGTGCCGCACCGTCTCCCAGTACAACAGGTGCCGCACCGTCTCCCAGTACAACAGGTGCCGCACCGTCTCCCAGTACAACAGGTGCCGCACCGTCTCCCAGTACAACAGGTGCCGCACCGTCTCCCAGTACAACAGGTGCCGCACCGTCTCCCAGTACAACAGGTGCCGCACCGTCTCCCAGTACAACAGGTGCCGCACCGTCTCCCAGTACAACAGGTGCCGCACCGTCTCCCAGTACAACAGGTGCCGCACCGTCTCCCAGTACAACAGGTGCCGCACCGTCTCCCAGTACAACAGGTGCCGCACCGTCTCCCAGTACAACAGGTGCCGCACCGTCTCCCAGTACAACAGGTGCCGCACCGTCTCCCAGTACAACAGGTGCCGCACCGTCTCCCAGTACAACAGGTGCCGCACCGTCTCCCAGTACAACAGGTGCCGCACCGTCTCCCAGTACAACAGGTGCCGCACCGTCTCCCAGTACAACAGGTGCCGCACCGTCTCCCAGTACAACAGGTGCCGCACCGTCTCCCAGTACAACAGGTGCCGCACCGTCTCCCAGTACAACAGGTGCCGCACCGTCTCCCAGTACAACAGGTGCCGCACCGTCTCCCAGTACAACAGGTGCCGCACCGTCTCCCAGTACAACAGGTGCCGCACCGTCTCCCAGTACAACAGGTGCCGCACCGTCTCCCAGTACAACAGGTGCCGCACCGTCTCCCAGTACAACAGGTGCCGCACCGTCTCCCAGTACAACAGGTGCCGCACCGTCTCCCAGTACAACAGGTGCCGCACCGTCTCCCAGTACAACAGGTGCCGCACCGTCTCCCAGTACAACAGGTGCCGCACCGTCTCCCAGTACAACAGGTGCCGCACTGCCCACCCAGTTACTTCCGTCTATGACAGGCCTGACTACTGTGCTGCGTGCTCCTCTCACTCATTGCACCATGCGCTGTGTTCCCCTCTGCATGCATGCAATGGGCGTGGCTCGCGTGTGTCGCATCCCGCAGTGTGCTGGTGGGGCTGGTCATCGTGCAGTACCGCTGGAACTCTGACCGCTGTGGTAACAGCAGGTTAGTCTCCCTCCCCACCCCAAACCAATCATCAACAGTCAAGAGCATCTGACCTGACCGTATGCAGGTTCTCCAGCCCCCTGCACCTTTTGAGTCAGGCCCCTCTCACACAGCTTGTGTACATACCCACATTCACCATTCCTCTCATTCCTCCCCTCTCATCTGCCGGTCCCCCCTGCTTTTGTCCACCAGTCCTCTCCTGCCTCACCCTCTCCTCTGCCTCCTGCCCTCCCCTGCCTCCTGCCCTCCCCTGCCTCACCCTCTCCTCTGCCTCCTGCCCTCCCCTGCTTCACCCCCTCCCCTCTCATCCGCCGGTCCCCCCTGCCTCACCCCGGCGTGGCAGGTTCCACTTCCAGGACGCATGTGTGGGGGGGGAGTCGTCGAGGGCGTTTGGGGTGAACCCGGTGTTCCTGCCGTCCTCGTCGCTCTACAACCCCAATGCCGCCGTCACCAACACCACTGCCTTCACCAACCAGCCCTTCGCCAACCCCTTTGAGCTCAACGCCAAGGGGCTGCCCTTCGGCTTCCAGCAGCTCGTGAGTCCCACCTCGCCTTCACCCATGCGCACCACCTCCCCCTCCAGTCCAGGCTCCTCCCTTCCTTTTGGTACTTCACTCTCCTCATGGCCCATTGTGGGCCGATTCAGGCTCCATCCATGCTGCTGATGCCTTGAGTCGATCCTGATTGAGACGTATGAACCTTGATGAGCCTGTGCAGTCAGTCAGTGCAAAAGCTGCCTCTCTTGCTCTCTGCACTCCCTTGCACTCCATTGCGCTCCCTTGCACTCCCTTGCACTCCCTTGCACTCCATTGTGCTCCCTTGCACTCCCTTGCGCTCCCTTGCACTCGCAACCCAACCCCCACCGTTTCCACAGCCCGGCAGTGGGCGCTTCCCGATCGTGTTTGACGTGAATCTGGACAACGCGGGGGCAACGCGGCGGCTGCAGTACTTGGTGGACGGCTTCTTCATCGACAACTACACCCACAGCATCAACGTTGGCCTCATCACCCGCAATGGTAATTTGCCTGGCATCACCTGCAATGGTAATTTGCTGTTAGCAGCACATTAATGGGTTGAGTGTCGCTCAGCTCGTGTGGGTATACTGCTTGCCGGCCAAGAAAGGAAGAGCCTGAAACTTGAGGTTCTTGAAACAGGGCACTCCATCTCGAGCACTTAGAGAATCGGGGTGAAGAGAGGAATGAAAAAGGATGGAGTCAAAGCCATCCAGACCTCTGAAGGTGAGTCAAAGCCATCCAGACCTCTGAAGGTGAGTAGACAAGTGGTTGGAGTTGAAGAGAGTCCCATCCAGATGAGGCTAGGAAAGCAAATATGCACTCACCCTCTCACTCACCTTCTCTCCCACCTGCATGTGCACTCGCCCTCTCTGCTTCCCCCCTTTGCCGGCCAGCCAACGAGCATCTATTCACGGCCACCAAGGCCACCCTGACGGTGCAGTCGGGCGGCAGCATGGAGGCGTCGTTCCAAGTGCAGCCGGTGAACGTGGAGTACTACAACATGAATGAGAGCAGCAACGTGGTGCGGCTGGTGGTGGAGCTGCTGTTTGTGGCCGCGGTGGCGTGGAACATCGTGGAGGAGGTGAAGGAGATGCTGTGGACGTGGAAGGTGCAGCGCCGCTCCTTCTGGCACTACGCAAGCAAGGGCTGGAACTGGGTGGACTGGCTCTCCATCGCCCTCCAGATCACCGCCATCGCCATCTGGTCAGCATGCTTGGGGTGGCCACGCATGGGTTGAAGAGGCATGGTGGTGAAGAGACATGGGGTGAAGAGGCATTGGGTGACAAGGCAAGTTGAAGTGGTGAGGTGGGGATTGAGTGTGGTGTTTCATTCGTGTGGTGGATCATTCGTGTGATGCTTACATTGGAGGAGTGCATTCGGGTGCTGTCTGACGGGCATACGGCACATGCCAACCACCTTCATCTTCATTCCAACGGCGAGTCCTATTGCATGAAGTCAGCCCTCCCAAGTCTGCATGGGTTGGTGATGCGTGGGGTGGGCAAGGCATGGGGTGACGACCAGCCATGGGGTGGCGGGGCATGGGATGATCAGGCGGTGAGTGTGGATTGATTGTGGTGGTTCAGTCACCTACTGCTTACGACCGTAGAGGAGTGAAAAACCTATGTCACTTTCTCGCACTTGCTGCCATGGCACGTACAGGATATCAGTGGCGGTGACGCGAGCACAGGGGTTCACCATCCAGCCTCACTACGACATCTACTACACGCTCGACGACAACCCGCGCTACTGGTCGCTGCCCAACCCACCCGTGGGCTATCAGGCCGCCATGTCAGCAGTGGACACGCTTGGCTTCGTCACCAACCTCTGCGCCATCTACTTTGCCCTTCAGGGCATCAAGTGAGTTGTACTCTCTCCTCTATCATACCTCTGCATCTCAACATCAGCGACGGGTCAGAATGGGTCGGGTTGAATCGGCCCAAACTGGGGTGTCAGCTGGGTTCAGGTTGGTGCTCTGTGGGTTCAACCAGACCCGACCTAACCCTGCTCTCGGGTTGGGATATGCCAACTGCTCGACCCAGTCCAAGCCCAGGCACGTGGCATCCTGACTCACGCGTTGGGCCAGGTCGTGCTGTTTCTCAAGCCTCGAGCCTCTCTCTCTTCTCTTCCTCATCCGTCCTGTCTGTTCTGTCTCTCCCCTCTCTTCCCTCCTCCCCTCTCCTCACCTTATGTCGCACTCCACCTGTGCCTTTTCTCCCCTTCCCCGCTTCTCCCCATTTCCCCCACTCTTTGCGCTCTGACCTCTCTCCTTTCTCTTCCTTGTTTCAATTCTTCCCTCACCCCCCTGTCCTCTATCTTCCATACTGCCTCCGTTGTTCTCTAGAACGCTTTCCCTGTGTCCCTCAGGTCATGAGCACAAGAGCCGTCTCCCATGTGTCTCATCTCTTGCTTGCCTTTCCCCATCTTTCGTGTCACCATCCGACCCCACCAGTGTGTTCATCATGGTGCTGCGCCTCTTGAAGCTGATGGACTTTCAGCCCAACATGGGCATCATGACTCGCTCCCTCCGAGTCGCCATGCCGTCTCTCCTCCACTTCTTCATTCTCTTCTTCGTTGTCTTCGTCGCATATGCCACCTACGGCTACCTGGTGTTCGGGATGACCTTGGAGCAGGTGTGTGCTGCGTGCTATGCATGCTTCTGTTCAGCTCAAATGTGCAACTCATTTTGTTGCATGGTTTTGCTAGTTGCTTTATTTCTTTCCCTGTATCTTGACAGAATCCTGTGTGGGGGTGGGTTGGGGAGGACGTGTGCACCTATGCATAAGCAGAGTCGGCTAGTCAGGAGATGGGGCTTGGAATTGATTGAGTGACGACTCCCTTAGTTTTTCATTCCAAGCAGAACCCACGCGATGCGATATGAGTTCCGCGCGAAACAAAATCGCGTCGAAGCCAAGAGGCACCTCAATAACAAGCAATACTGAACTACTCGACTTGAACCATACCCTGTTCGAGTCGAACCATAAGTTACAAAAAGCTTTACTCTGGATGATTGAGACAATGGCTTCATATCTGTCTAAGGTCCTTAGCTTACAACTATGACACACTTCCTTAAACATGAAAAGGCACGCTAAGGAAAACGCAGATGGAGTGGGTCATTCTGTCTACTCGCTGCAAGCTAGGAGTGACATTAGGGTTTGGGTTGGGCTAGCTAGCCGTTTGGAGACGTGTAGGTCCGGCCTAGAACCGTGCTGAAATGAATCAGTTTGGTTTCATTGTAGCGATCCAGTTCCTGTACTAAGATTAACCACGAGACTGCTTTTGGCTAATCCGGTTCGATTACAAACCAGTGCAGTTCCTAACCTGTTCGGTTCGGTACCGTGCTCATGCCTACGAGGAGCCATGGATGGCGAGGTGAAAAGGTTGCACGAGTTAGGTGAGAGCATTAAGAAATATATTTGGTTGGGTGAAACTCCAACTAAACCTTGTCCATTTTCATTTGAAGAAACGAACCACAGAATGAACCGTAACCTGAGATGGGGTTAAGACTTAAATTGGCCGAATAATAATGTAAGGCTAGTACGAAATACAGAGCATAATCAAGCCTACATTAGCTCTTCCCCTGGCTAGGTGAAGCTTTGAAGAGGAGCACCTCGCAAAACACCCCGGAACTGGGGAGGTGGGTGAGGCCAAGTGCGCCACGTAGGCATGGTTGGGTGGCGAAGGAGGGCTCTTGTAGAGTTATCGGCAAGGTTGACCTCCTGAAGACGGAGGAAGCGACAATGCAGCTCACGAGGGAAGATTTGGTGCACGTCGCTCTGCTCGCAGTGACCGTGGAAGTCTAGAATCTTAGTGAGGTAAATCATGCTTGCAATATCACGGGCTAGCAGTATAGAGGTTGCAAGGTTCGAGCTTACTCTGGATATAAACTAGACAAGTGTTACAAACACTCAACAAATTATTACCGAGACTAGAAAAATTATATCAGTCTTCTTCAGTAACTTCCAGGCAATTAAAGTTTTGCCTTGTAGGTAATAAATGTGTCATCTTGTCCAGGTGTATTTGCAGTGGAGCTAAAATCCGAAATCTCATTTTCCGAAATCTCATTTTCTTGTGAGATCCGCTAGGCATAGGTTAGTCCTTTAGGTTCCCTAAGCAGGTTTTCGCTGAACACAGACTCTCCGGTGCAAAGCAACGGTGCTTTAAGTTCGTGGCTGTGTCCGTGGAGCTAGAACAGGCCACGAAGGCTGCCGCAGCCATGCATGGCAAGGTGGGAGGGGGAGGAGATAGGCGGTAATGGCCGGCGCTGCAGCCAAGGGCTGCAGCCCTTGGATGCAGAATGATGCGGGTTACCGGGGTTTCAAGGCTGCTGCAGGTTGATGTGCTACGTCGTTACTGCCACCAACGTCTATGCCGTTTGCCGGCAAGTTGTACCCAGCCGAGTATCCAAAAAGCTCATCTACACTGACAAGTAACGAGTCTGATAATAGGTGGAAACAACTTGGCGGGATGCCGCCAGTAACGAGGCGAGTTTTTGTGACCTCGTCACTTTGTTCAAGCCACGTGGATGGTGTGACAATGTGGAATGCGTGCCAAGAGGCAATCAGTGCTGGACGCAAACATGTTACGCAGAGAGAAAAGAGCAAGATTGTCGGTAGTAAGCCCAATTTTCTGAGTTGCGTGCTTGGACAGAAGCTTGGTCGAATTCTTATGTTCACAATGCTGCTTGCCTAAAATGGGGTCACTATCCCAATCAGCGTCAGATTCTCCAGAGTGTCTGCGAATGCAGGTTTGCACAGGAGGTTATGATGTGTGTGATTTTTTTCCTTCACTGCCCTCTTTTCCCCCAAGTGCAGTTCAGCACGATGTGGTTGTCCCTGCAGACCTGCTTCTACATGATCGTGGGGCAGTTCTACGTGTCGTGGTTCCAGCAGATGGTGGGGTGGCAGTACGCGGCGGCCATGGTCTTTTGGTTCTCCTTCGTCATCATCTTCTGCTTCATCCTCTTCAACTTCCTCATCGCCATCATCGTGGATGCCTTCATGGCCGTCAAGGTCAGTCAACGCCGGTCAACAGCAGTCAAGGTGAGTCAATGCTGGTCAACAGCAGTCAAGGTGAGTCAATGCAGGTCAGCAGCAGTCATGGCCGTCAAGGTCAGTCAACAAAGGTCAACAGCAGTCGAGGTCAGTCAACGCCGGTCAACAGCAGTCAAGGTGAGTCGACGCCGGTCAACTGCAGTCAAGGTGACACAATGCTGGTCAACAGCAGTCAAGGTGAGTCAACGCTGGTCAACTGCAGTCAAGGTGAGTCAGCACAGGTCAACAGGTTGGAACAAGTCAATGACGGTGAGTGCAAGTCAACAGTTGTCAACTTGAGTCAATGGATCTATTGCAGGTCAAGTGGGGTCTATACAAATCAACGGAAATGATATTGTGGTTCGTCTTTGTCATTACCTGATTCTTTGTGCTCTTTACCCTCCCTCCCTCCCACCCTCCCTCCCTCCCTCCCTCCCTCCCTCCCTCCCTCGCTCCCTCTCGCCCTTGTCTGCTGACCGACCTGCACGGTTTGCAGGAGTCATCGGACAAAGCACCGGCAATCTACCAGGACATGTACTTGATTGTGGTGCGCTTCTTCCGCCGCGTGGCATCGCCGTACAGAAGGTACAGCCGCCTGCTGCGCCACCTCATTCGCCTCGGAGCAGAGAACACCGCCAATGCGGTCATGGAGGTGAGCGGCCCGGCCAGGGAGGTGAGCGGGCAGGGAGGTGAACGGGCAGGGAGGTGAGCGGGCAGGGAGGTGAGCGGGCAGGGAGGTGAGCGGGCAGGGAGGTGAGCGGTCAGGGAGGTGAGCGGGCAGGGAGGTGAGCGGGCAGGGAGGTGAGCGGTCAGGGAGGTGAGCGGTCATGTGAGCATGGGAATGCAGGTGCTGGGAGAGTGTGGAGTGCTTTATGAGCTTGATAGTCCAATTTCTGACCTGCATGACCTTCATGACCTGCATGACCTGCATGACCTGCATGGCCTGAGCCCCAGTCGAGCCACTACGAGTTCAATGTGTTCAACCTTATTCGATCAATTCATCCTTTAAGCTCGACACCATAGTCTGCCATGCAAGAGGCTGACCTCTGGCCAAAGCTTTCCTGCGTTCTTTCCTGCTCGGCGTCCCACTGCCTCTGCCCTCTTACGGAACCGCTTTCCATCCATTCCCATTGTCCCATTGTCCGCCACTCTGCAGAAAAGCCTTGGGCAGTCTGGTCAGCAATGCCTCTCCTCGAGCTTTCAGTGCGGCAGGGAGGTGAGAGGCAGCAGGCGTGATACTGATGGAGAAAGGAGGGAGGATGCTGACAGTGATGGCGAACTGGGGAGAATTGGAGAAGAGGAGGGAAGGGAGGAGAAAGAAGAGGAGAAGAGGGGGTGTGGCGCAACGGAAGGTGTTCCTTACAATGCCTTGCAAGCACAGACCCATTTTGATGCGCAGCAACAAGTGCTAGCCATGGTGGGAGCAGAAGAGACTGGTTTAATCCGGGGAGAGAGCACCAAGGGGTTGTTGGCGAGTGGTGGGGTCGCCAAGTCCCAGGCAGCCGGCAGCACCAACACTCAGCTGGCCGCCCATGCTTCCACCACTGCTGCTGATGCTTGCACGATAGTTGCTGATCCTGCCACCATGGGTGGCAGCATGGTAAAGCCAGCAGTGCAGAGGCGGCGGAGCTTCTGGCGGCTGAAAACGCTGGATGAGCGGGAGACTGTGGTGGTGGTGGGGGAGAGGCAGCTCAACGCCCACTCGCTCTCTTCCATCCTGCGCCGTGCACACGCCCGCATGGTGAGACAGGGGCACTGCATGCATGCCAAGGGATGGGATGAGCATTTCATGCACACCCGCTGGAGATGCTCGTAACATGCAGTCAGCAGTCCCGCACGATCTTCATCTTTCCCGTGCATCTTTCCACCTGCTCCTGTGTCTCCAATCAGTCTCTCATTCCCACCACCAGCACTCCTCAGACCTGCAAACGCTGAGGGAGGCGGGGGAGTGCTGCTCACACTTCATGCCTTTCTCTCCCATGCCATGCCATCCCATCCGCCCCTGCAGCGACGCTCTCTCCCCGACGAGCAGGAGGAGGACCCCATGGACGTGGCAGCGCTGGGGGCGGTGCTGCTGTCGGAGCTGGGGGAGAGCGCGCCGCCTGCCGAAGCCACGGAGGGAGGCGAGGCGGCAAAGGAGGGCGACCTGCAGGCCATGCAGCGGCACGTGGAGGCGCTGCAGGCCGACGTGGCCCGTGGCTTCGACCAACTTCGCGAGCAGCTCAGCAGCAAGCTTCAGAGCTCCCATCGCATCCAGTTGGCACAAGCACCCAGGCAGGACCTCCTCCCGGACCAGCCAAGCGATGGTCAGGAAGAGGCCGGGCGAGGAGCATGGGAGCAGGTTTTGATGCAGGTGGGGAAGGTTCGGGAGGAGGCTGAGAGGGAACGAGCAGAGGTTTGGGAGGTGGTGCGTGAAGTCCGACGAGAGATACAATTGCTACGGGCAGCAAGAGGGGAGGGGAGATAGAGGGCAGGAGAGCAAGAGCAAGGGGTTGGGGACGCGGTTGGGGCATGGAGGAAAAACATGGAGTGCGGGGTGAGAGGCGAGTGAATGAGATGAGTGCTATTTCATTGTCCACTGTGGTCCTGTTCTTGAGACTGGGGATTGGGGTACTATTCGTCGCTGCTTGCTGGGAGTTGTAGGGGTGTGTTGTGTTTTCATATTTTTGTCTGAATAGTCTCAAAATTCTTTGGCCACCGATCGTGATTTTTCAGAACTCCTCTTTGCCATTATTGATTGATTCATAGTACTAAGATCTCAAGGTACTATCCTTTCTACTGTCTGCCTCAGTACAGCTTCGCACACGCGCATTCACGCTGCGCGCACCCGCCCATGCACGCACGAACGTACGCACGCACACACATATACACACACATACACACACAAACAAAGATATATATATATATATGCCGTATATATATGCATATACAGTTTGACATGTTGGAATTTTGGTTAATTCCGGTTGCTCCAATAAACATATGCAGTGCTAGATCTACAATATAGTAGTGTAGAATACATTGGTTAGGTTGGAAAAACTTGTGGTGTGCACTCAGAGTGGACCATCTCCAAAACCCTATAGGTTATGGTTCTCTCTTGTTCGAACTTCACTTCTTTGGAATCCCTTTGGTTCTAGCATGGTTCATGCCCAAGTTGGCTCCTAAGATTTCTAGGCTTCAAGAGAAGGTTCTAAGACAGTATCTTCCGTAGTTTAGACCATTCTAACATAGTATCAGAGCCAGGAAGGCCTAGCAATCTGTTGGAATAGGAGCTACTCAAGAAATTGGACCATATTACCTTGGTGGAAGCTAAATAGCTTCAGTCCCTCCCGAAGGGCTGCCGAAATTGCACCGTGGCAGACTCTGAACGTGGGAGGGGGGGAAGAGAGAAGAAATCCATTGGAAATCATGTGGATCCGTTCGGGAGGACGAGAGGCGCGGCATCCATTCACGGAGAGGCTCAGTCAACGTTGGCAGATCAAGGCGTGCAACATATCGTTGGAAAACATTCGACACGATCTAGAACAGTTGCCGCAAGGTCGTCACAAATTAACGAGCGGATCGGACACAACGAGAGAAATACAATCAGCGGACGAATTTGAAAATTGAGAATCGGAGAAAATCTAAAGCACGGAAAAATGATTAGAGGGCAGACGCCATGAGCGGAGGCCAGGGCGCATCCAAGAAGCCAAAACTCAGGAGAAAAGGTCGAGTGTTTGGACGAGTTTAATCGGACAGCTTGGACATGGGATCTAGGAATGCGATACACCATTGGAACGGTCTCGAAGCGAAGATTCATTTGAATTAAACATCTCATCATTCGAAGGTTCGAGCGCGCAGTTACTCTAAAAAAACCAAGAGAGGATGAATCTGCCCATATCGTCTTCACCGCCGCCGCCGTTGCCTCCACAACCACCTCGGCGTCAATCTTCAATGCCTCTGCCGCAAGTGGATCATGACCCAGGCAAACGGAAGCTAGAGAGTATGTCAAATTTTGACAGGAGCGACTTTTGGACTTGGAGTTTCCGATTTGAACGATGGGTAGAGGCGCATGATCTATGGGGGTACTTTGATGGTTCGGAGGAGCGGCCTGCATCGGGTGACGCACGGGTGAAGTGGGAGAGGAAAAATCAGAAGGCATTTGCCCAATTCTGCAATGCCTTGGTGCTGGATGAGCTGATTTGCTTGGTACGGGAGTTCGGCGGCAAGACCGAGTTGGGCAATGCACCTGTATTGATGGCGGAGCAAGAGCAGTCACCCGAGTTCCTGCAGGCACGGCAGTGGCACACACACGTGTGAAGGAGTTATACCTTCAGCGTGGATTGTGTAATCGTATGACGCTCTCTCAGGAGCTCTCTTCCTTGAAGATGAAAGAGGGGGGGGGGGGGGTGGCTGCATACCGGGCGCGTGCCGAGGACTTGAGGTCCAAGTACTTGGCTGTAGGAGGGAAGGAGGAGGTTGAGGAGTGGATGATGAGGGTAGTCAAAGGACTACCTCCTCACTTCAAGATGCTGAAGGTGGTGCTGAACAACCAATCATCATCGCTCACTAAGGATAAGTTGTTTACCTCTCTGAAGAGCGAGGAGATGTGGATTGCTGTCGCACCAAGATCGGATGGTGTAGCCACTTTTGGAGCGGGTACGAAAGTGGGCAGCAGCGGCAGGGGAAATTGGGACAAGGGAGGAAAGCATGGAGGCAGCGGTAGCAGCAGCGGCACCAACTCGCGCAGATGGGGTCATGGGAAAGACAAAACATGAGTGCTTGCTTTCCCTTGGGGGTCCAAGGGTATGGCTCCTAGGGGGTTGTGTCATGGCTGTTGGGATGAGGGACGTGCATGGCAGCGATGTCCTCACCGACCTAAAGGAGGCATTCCGAATTTCTGACAGTGGGGGGATCGTGAGTCCAACGGCAAGGCACAAGTGGCAGATTAGGAGGAGAAGGATGACAAGGTAGATGTAGCTGTTGGAGAGGCAGTTTCAGCAGTAGAAGGGGAGCAGCCGCGAGAGGGGTGGTGGATTTACAGTGGGGCCAGCCACAACTTTACTCCTTATGCATCAACTTCAAGAGTAAGCTTGAGCTACCTGAGATTTGAGGAGTTAGCTTGGGAGATGGACGGGTGGTGAAAGCTGTTGGCATGGGTGAAGTGCTAGTGGTTGGTGCTCCAGGCCAGCTGCTGAGGATTCAAAAGGTACACCTTGTGCTTGAGATGCAGACGCGTCTGCTGTCAGTCCCACATCTCACCTCTCTGGATGTCATTGTCATATTCGGAGGCAAGGGATGCGTTATCAAATGGGAGGAGAGGGTGTTGGCGATTGGAGAAAAGGAGGGGCGAAGGGAACATGGATTGGTGCGGATGTCTCTTCCTCTTGTTCGGGGCACACAGAGCAGTGCTCTTGCAGCTGGATCCTCCTCCTCAGTTTCTCCATTGACCCTTGCTCATCGCCGCCTTGGTCATACTGCCCCAACAACACTGCAACAGATGGCTTGGGGGAACATTGTACTTGGCTTGGAGATTGGGGGAGGGAGCACTAATTGCTCTCTAGGTGATCCTTGCTTATTGGGAAAGTCGGCTCGAAAGCCGTTTCCTTATGAGGCGTCTCGGGCACTTGGACCTATGGATGAGGTCCACAGGGGACCAGTGCACACACCGTCACTAGGAGAAGCGGTGTATGTCCTCAGCCTCGTTGACAACTTTAGCAGACGAGTTTCGGTCGTTCCCACTCCCCAACAAGGAATCAGCCACAGTCGCAGAAGTTCTGTGCCAGTGGCATAACGACATGGAGTTGGAGTGTGGGCGGAAGCTGAAGGCTGTTCGCTCAGATAGGGGTGGCGAGTTCTTGGGGGGAGCTGTAAAATCATGGAAGGCTGAGCTTGGCATCAAAACTCAATTGAGCATCGCAGATATACCGCAGCAGAATGGGGTGGTGGGGAGGTGGCACAGGACGATGGCAGAGGGGATTTGCACATTGCTGGTCGACAGTGGTCTCTTTGCTCGCTTGTGGGGTGAAGCATTGATGTGGGTCGTGTGGGTTAAGAACCGGGTCACCCATAGTGCTTTGCCTCCCTCCGTCACCCCAATGGAGGCATGCTCTGGCTAGAAGCCGCATGTGGGCATGGCTCGGATTTGGGGTTGCATGGGGAGTATCATGTTGCATGGGCATGAGAAGGGTGGCAAGCTTGATGCACGCGCCGTCGTGTGTGTATGTGTTGGGGTGGACATGGAGAGCAAGGGTTGGCACATGCTAGACCCTTCTCTTATGCGCATTTGCATTGCTCGAGAATGTGATGTGGGACAAGGCCAAGGGCTTTGGGGAGCTTCTGCAGGATGCAACTGAGATTTTCCAGCTCCTCCCCCTTCCACTCTCGCCACCCTCAGCACTGGTTGATGACGCTGACATGCCACATTCATCACCACCACCAACACCACTGAGTGTGTCGGTGCTGCAGCAGCCCGCCCCTCTCCATCAGCTCAATGGCCTCTTGATCATTCAGCGGAGATCTGCTACCCAGGCTTCTTCCTCTTCCTCCTCCTCTTGTCAGCATCATGTCAGTCTCTCTGCGAGTGCATCTCTGTCACCAGCGACTACCTCCCGACCACCAGTTACAAGGTTGCGGGTGCTTGCTATCTGGTCTGGTACATGTGGGGTGAGGAGGTAAGGGGGGGAGGCTGTTGTGGTTGAAGGCATGATGTGCTTGGCCAGGGAGGTGGAAGGTGTTGCACTAGCAGGTGTGAGTACCAGTGGTGTCCCACGCACGCTTGCTGAGGCACTGCGCAGCCCTGAGGGCCCTGCATGGAAGGCAGGCACTAAGAAGGAGGTAAATGCCATGCGCACCATGGGTGTATGAGAGCTTACCTCCAGGTAAGAAGGCCATTGGGGTCAAGTATGTTTTCCACAGGAAGACTAACAAGGAGAATAAGGTGGTACAGCACAAGATTCGCCTTGTTGCTAAGGGGTACACTCAGGAGCCAGAGAAGGAGTTTGATAAGGTATTTGCCCCTGTGGGCAAGCTCACCTCAGGTTGGGTGCTTTTTGCACAAGCCGCGGTAAAAGGGTGGCATGTACATTAGGAGGATGTTGATCATGCTTACCTTAATGCAGTTCTTCAGGAGGAGGTGTATGAGAGGCAGCCTGAAGGATTTGATGATGGTACACATAGAGTGTATTGCTTGCGCAAAGCTCTCTATGGGCTCAAGCAAGCGCCTCGTGCATGGAATAAGGAGATTGGTACCACCTTGATTGCAGCAGGGCTTCACCGCAGTGCATGCGATGAGGCTTTGTACATCAGGTATGTGGATGGAGAGCCTGTGTTTGTACTGGTGTATGTGATCAAAGAGGTTCTTCCTCAGAGGTACCAGATGAAGGATCTGGGTGAGTTATCCACGTACCTTGGTGTGGAGGTTCGCAGGTCAGTCAAGGATGAGTGGTTGGAGATTGGCCAGAAGAAGAATGTCATTGGTCTTCATGGAAG